GGAGGAAATCGAGCAGGTTTGCAGCGCGGAAATCCCTGCTTGGAAAATCCAGGCCGCGCGTAGATCCTCCGGGGTGTGTCTGTTTCATTACCCCGTCTCTCCAAAGTTCAGGGGCTTCGGCTGTCTGTCCCTGAGACAGGTTTTCTTTCTTTCCGTTTGCCCAGAAAGGGAACGGAGCTTGTGGAGTCCTCGTCGTCTGCTTGACGAAACAAACAAACCCCTCAAGCGATCTGGGAGCCAAAAGAAAACCGGATTGTTTTATTTCATTGTGGGGAGGGTGTGTGTGTGTGTGGGGGGGGAGACTTATATATTTTTTTAAATTGCAGTGGGTATGAAACTGCAAACGGAACCAACAGCTGGGAGGTTGGTTTTGCGAAACGGCGAGCAACTTTCCCCCGGGGGCGACGGGCGTTCGTTTTTTGTGGGCCGGTTTCCTATGAAGGTGGTTGTTGTTTTGCCCACAACAGGATACGATTTATCCGCCACGGGCGTGTTAAGACGCGGTGCTTGAAATTAACCAGGCCGGCTGCCTGAAATTGACCAACGAGGGCGTGAAATTGACTTGAGTGGCGAAGGGCCCGCTTCGCAAAAAGATGGGGAACTCGATTGGGGAACTTCGGAGGGAGGGCGGCCCTTTTGAGGGGGGGGGATTTTGAAATCGGTGTCCTCCGGGACCCCCAAAGGGGAGGCTGTGCTTAGAATTGACGCGTGAAGGCTGTTCGGGGTCTCTTTTTTGGGGGGCCCACGAATTTATCAGGACAGACGTCTCTAGCCAACGTTCACCCGAGCTGGGCGCTGGGGAAGGCCCGGAGTTCAATGGAAAAGGTCAACGGGGACGCAGTGTTCCCTCTAAGATGAGTGAGTGAGAGCTAGCTCACAGTTTTTTAGCCTCCGGCTCACACATATTTGTCTTCGCTCAGGAAGGGACGGCTCCAGAGCAAACTAATTTATGTGGCAGCCAAATGGCTCGCTCACCACTTTAATGCCAGCAGCTCACAAAGTAGAATTTTTGCTCACAGGACTCCACGGCTCAGAGGCAACATTGACGGGGACTGCAGTGTTCCCTCTAAGCTGAGTTCGCGTGAGCCAGCTCACAGTCTTTTACCCTCTCCAGCTCACCGATTTTGATCTCCGCTCAGCAACCTAATTGATGCAGCGGCCAAATGCCTCGCTCACAACTTTTAATGCCAGGGGCTCACCAAGTAGAATTTTTACTCACAAGACTCCACGGCTTAGAGGGAAGATTGACGGGGAGCTCTCTTGGCGGAGTTCAGGCCTGCCTTTAGACCTCGGTACCACCCCCACCTCCACGCCAAATATCACAGGCCAAAGTTTATAATCCGAGGAAAACCCCGGGAAAGATCCGCTCTGCGTGGCTGGTTTGCAAGGCTCCCTCTAAGCCGTGGGGCCCGGCGAGCAGAAATTCTGGCGGAGAGCGAGCCCTTCGGCCCCGCTGCATCGATCAGTTCGCTCGGGAGCCCTCCTTCCCGAGCCGAGACAAAAATGGGTGAGCCGGAGGCTAAGGAACTGTGAGCCGGCTCACGCTAACTCGGCTTAGAGGGAACGCTGCGTGGTTAGAGAATATTTGGGGCTCTTGGATAATATTTTTATTTGGGGGGGGTGTCATGGCCCTTCTGGGGCGGCGGGGCGAGATCTCAAACTTTCTCTCTCTCTCTCTCTCCCTTCCCCAAACAACCCCCCCCCCCCAAATCCCTTCTCCTTCCAGTACGATGACTTGGTACACTACGCCGGCATGGACGGGGTCTCTCTGCCGGGGTTTGGGGACCCCCACGCGGGCCGGGCGCTGCAGCACCACGCGCTGAACCAGGGCTCCCCTTATGGGTCCGCGGGAGTCAACCACCGGGCCGGCCTGCCCCCCAGCTTGGGCACCAACGACGCCTTGAAGAGAGAGAAGGACGAGATCTATGGGTGAGTCGGCGACGCGCTCCGTTTCGCGGGTTCCCCCCCCCATGCGAGGCGGGATGGGCAGAACTGGATCGTGGCCAGCTCGCGTCCCCCCCCAGGGGCGACCAGCGTGTAGGAACCCGCGGGGATTTTTGTTTGTTTGTTTGTTTGGAGGCGGCCCGGTTCTTCGCAGTTGGTTCCGGTGCTCCCTCTAAGCTGCGGAGTCTTGTGAGCGAAGATCCTGCTTTGTGAGCCGCTGGCAATTCAAGTTGTGAGCGAGCGGGTTTGGCGGCTGCGTCGCTTAGCTGCCTCTGGAGCCCTCCTTCCTGAGCGGAGACAGAAATGGGTGAGCCGGAGGCTAAAAAAACTGCCAGCTGGCTCACACGAACTCAGCTTGGAGGGACACACCGTGACCAACGCTCCCTCTAAGCTGCGGAGTCTTGTGAGCGAAGATCCTACTTTGTGAGCCGCTGGCAATTCGAGTTGTGAGCGAGCAGGTTTGGCGGCTGCGTCGATTAGTTAGTTCTGGAGCCCTCCCTTCCCGGACCGAGGCAAAAATGGGTGAGCTGGAGGCTAAAAAAACCGCGAGCTGGCTCACACTCACTCAGCTTAGAGGGAACACTGGGCTGGGACCGTTTCCACCTCTCCTTCCCCCCCCCCCCCCCCCGCCCCCCCAAATCTTGCTGAGTCTCCCGAACGGATTTCCCACCGGCGCCCCGATCCTAGGCCTGGCCGTCAAGTTCCCCCCGGCCTTGCTCTTACTCCCAAGGAAGTAAACGCACAGGGCTGCAGTCGACTCTTGTGAGCAACAAAAATTCGACTTGCTGAGCTCCTGGCGTCAAAGTGGGGAGCGAGCGATTTGGCTGCTGCAAGAAATCGGTTTCCTCTGGAGCCCTCCCTCCCTGAGCTGAGACAAAACTGTGTGAGCCGGAGGCTAAAAAACTCTGAGCTGGCGCACACTGACTCAGCTTAGAGGGAACCCTAGGCTCCAGACCCGGCCTCCTGAACGCTTCCAGCTTTAACGCCTGGGGCCAGTGCTCCCTCTAAGCTGTGGGGTCTTGTGAGCAAAAATTCTACTTTGTGAGCCACTGGCATTAATGTTGTGAGCGAGCGATTTGGCCGCTGCATAAATCAGTTTGCTCTGCAGCCAGCTGTTCTGAGCGAAGACGAAAATGTGTGAGCCGGAGGCTAAAAACCTGTGAGCTAACTCACGCTAACTCAGTTTAGAGGGGTTGTGAGGTGGGGTGTGTGTGTCTGGGTCTGGGTCTTACTCCCGAGGAACCCCGCTGGCCAGGGTCGGCAGCGGTCTAAGGCTGCGAGCGAGGGAAGCTGACCTAAAAAGCAAATCTCAGCCGCGGTCGACCGGGCCTTACTCCCGAGTAGACGCGCAGCACAGCGGTCAGGGGCCAGCCCTCCACGCCTAACTCCGGCGGCTCTTAGCAAAGGTCCCCGTAGGACTCCTGGCACGGCCCGATCCTAGGACGGTTTACTCGGAAGTAAACCCCACTGCGCGCCTCGGGACTTCCTTGGTAGTCCTCAGCCAACAACTGGCGTTCTGGTCCGTGGGTCCGTCGCGCTCGGTCCCTGGTGGATCCCTTCCTGGGAAGCCGCCTGGGATCTGGGTGGATCCCCCCGCTGGATCCTTTGGCTTGGGCGGGGGCCGAGGGTCGGTCTTGTGGTTTCTCTTGGCGGATCTCTCCGTCTGCCTGCGGCTGCCGCTCGGTTCCAGTGGGTTTCTTGTCTTCATTGCGTCCAGTGCTCCCTCTAAGCTGCGGGGTCTTGTGAGCAAAACTCCTACTTGGTGAGCTCCTGGCATTACAGTCGTGAGCCAGCGACTCGGCTCCTGCGTAAATGAGCTTGCTCTGGAGCCCTCCTTCCTGAGCGGAGGCAAAGATCTGTGAGCCGGAGGCTAAAAAAGGGTGAACTGGCTCACACTGACTCAGCTTAGAGGGAACTCTGCGTGGGACTTCTGTGAGCGAATGGATCTCTCAGTTGCTGGCGGACGGATCCCTCCCTTCACCCCGTCCTTGCTGCTTCTGTATGTCCTCCTTTCCAGATGGATCTAGTCCTAGGGTGCTCGCTCAGTGCTCCCTCTAAGCTGAGCTAGTGTGAGCTAGCTCACAGGGTTTTTTAGCCTCCAGCTCACACATTTTGGTCTCAGCTCAGGAAGGATGGCTCCGGAGCAGTGTTCCTTCTAAGCTGAGCTAGTGTGAGCTAGCTCACAGGGTTTTTTTTAAGCCTCACACATTTTGGTCTTAGCTCAGGAAGGATGGCTCCGGAGCAAACGAATTTATGCAGTAGCCAAATCGCTGGTTCACAACCTCAATGCCAGTGGTTCACAAAATAGGATTTTTTGCTCACAAGGCTCCACAGCTTAGAGGGAGCATTGGCCGGCCATGCAGGAGAACTCTAGATTTTCCTCTGGGCCCCCTCTCTGAATTCTTAGGACCAGTGGTCCTTCTAAGCTGTGTAGTCTTGTGAGCAAAAATTCTACTTGGTGAGCTGCTGGCATGAAAGTTGTGAGCGAGCGATTGGGCTCCTGCAGAAAATCAGTTTGCTCTGGAGCCCTCCTTCCCGAGCGAAGACAAAAACGTGTGAGCCGGAGGCGAAAAAAGTGTGAGCCTGCTCACACTAACTCAGCTTAGAGGGAACACTGGTCCAGTCTCTCCCCTCACCCCTCACCCCCCACCCCGATCTTTTCTAATGTAGAGAGGAATCCAGAGGAGTTAAGGGGGGGGGGGAAACCCTCCTCTGTTGTGAACACAAAAAGAGACCCCAAGTTTGAAGGGCAACAAATGGCCCAGTCTGAAAAGGGGGATTAAAAAACCGATGGGACCGGCCCGTCCTTTCAAAGACCATCGCTAAAGGATTGGATTCCCCCCCCCCCAGCTTATTTTTTGACTATTCTTTATCGTGATCGAGCTGCAGCTCTTTGAAAGGGTGTGTGTGCGTAAATCCGAAGCAGGGTTCCGGGCAGTGTTCCCTCTAAGCCGAGTTAGTGTGAGCCAGCTCAGAGTTTTTTAGCCTCCGGCGCACACATTTCTGTCTTAGCTCAGGAAGGACGGCTCCGGAGCAAACTAATTGATGCAGCAGCCCACAATCGCTCGCTCACAACTTGAATGCCAGCAGCTCACCAAGTAGGATTTTCGCTCACAGGACTCCACAGCTTAGAGGGAGCGTTGGTTGCGGGTCCACAGAAATGGGCCGGGGAGGGAGGCAAGTGGGTCTCAGTTTCCCATCTGTAAAATGGGAGTAACGGCAAGCCGGCAGGCTGGTGGAACGTGGTTGCCCAGGAGATATAGCTTTGGGAAGGGTTTGGGGAAGAAGCCGTCGGGTGGGAAAGATTTGGATCATCAGCTTCCTGGTCTGACGGTGAACAAAGGAAGCCTCCATGTTTGAGGGTAGTCTATCTGAATATCCGCTGCTCGGCCTAAGCCGTAGGAGGCAGTGTTCCTTCTAAGCTGAGTTAGTGTGAGCTAGCTCACAGTTTTTTTAAGCCTCCGGCTCACACACTCTTGCCTTCGCTGAGGAAGGAGGGCTCCGGAGCAAACTAATTGATGTTAGCAGCCAAATGGCTCGCTCACAGCTTTTAATGCCAGGAGCTCACAAAGTAGAATTTTTGCTCACAAGACTCCACAGCTGAGGGAGCATTGGCAGAAGGCCTTCGTTTTAGTTCTAGTTGGCGGTGGAATGCCGGGCTAACGGGCCTTCGGGCCTGATCAGGTGGGGCAGGGCTATCTTTGGGCAGGAACGCACAGGAACGGAGCTCCGGCTGGCTCCCAAGTTGGCCACACCCAGCAGAAACTCATTAGCATAATAGGCCACACCCAACAGCAGGAACTCATTAGGATTGGCTACATTAGGGGTGTGTGGCCTAACATGCAAAGGAGTTCCTGCTACAAAAAAAGCCCTGGGTTTGGACAACAGACAAGGTAAACAGAATAAGAAGCAAAAGGTGGGTGTGGCTGGATGACCACACTTCTGGTAACATGGGAATGCGGCCTAATAGGCCAATGAGTGGTGCAGTCAGGGGGTGTGGCCTAATATGCTAATGAGTTTCTGCTGCTGGGTGTGGCCTATTATGCTAATAAGTTCCTGCTGGACTTTTTCTACAAAAAAAGCCCTGAGTGGGGCAATGGTTTAGGGAGTGATCCTCAGAAGGTCTCCTCAGAAACCTACTCGGCTGAAGTCAAGGAGGCTTCCTCCCAGGAAAGCCTTTTTTTTTTAGGATTGCCCCGAAAATTCTCCCCGAAAGTGGAGGGGCACAGTTGGTTGCCCAAGACACCATTTGACCGGTATCGATTTAGCTCTGGTGAAGACTGCTTGCCCTGGTGGGTCTCTAATGTCCGTCGCTCGAGCAATGCTCCCCCTAAACTGTGGAATCTTGTGAGCAAAAATTCTACTTAGTGAGCTACTGACATTACATAAGAACAGAACAGAAGCCAATGTTGGATCAGGCCAATGGCCCATCCAGTCCAACACTCTGTCACACAGTGGCCAAAAATGGAGGTTTCCATGTAGGCAGGTGGAGGTGGGTCGTCGCTGCACCACAAAGCACTCATGTGCGGAGGTGATGAGCGTGGGTTTGTGGACGTCTTCGTCGTCCACTTGCATGGCTCCGTGGATGGTTTCGAACGTGGCACACCCGGGGCTCCTTTCAGCTGAGGCAGAGCATCCCCCCCCCCCCGAGAAAGAAGAAGAAGAAGAAGAGATTGGATTTATACCTCACCCTTCACTACCCAAAGGAGTCTAAGAGCGGCTTACAAACTCCTTTCCCTTCCCCTCCCCACAACAGACACCCTGAGGTAGGCGGGGCTGAGAGAACAGCTCTTTCAGAACCATGGCTTGCCCAAGGTCATCCAGCAGGTGCAAGTGGAGGAGTGGGGAATCAAACCCGGTTCTCCCAGATTAGAGTCCGCGCACTTCACCACGACACCAAACGCCTGCATCAATTTACTCTTCTACAGCGATGCTCAAACGATTCTCCCAGTGTGCAGCCAGCCTCCCTGGCTCAGCCCAAGAAC